AATGTTCTGTTACCCGGTAATTAATTAATTACCCGCATAATTTAAAAATTATCACAAATTATTTAAAATTTTATTTATTTTTAATATACTTTATACATCCTACTATCATGGTCATATGGTACCTTGTATGGTACTACTCTATAATTATCGGGTATTTTAGTTCGGGCCGTATTTTACCCCAAAATGGCAAACTTGGACATAATTTCTTTTTCTTTGACTTGCTCCCCCTTTCACCTTCACGAATTTACTAATCACTTATGAAATAGCATAATCCTTATAATCTCCAAATAATTTTTTACTTGGACTGATGTCAATTACCTTACGACAAATTCAACGTACAATACTTCAGGGTGCAACATCGTCGTAACTTAATACTGCAAAGCGTAACATCACTGTAATGTATTACTGCAGAGGGTAACATCGACTTAATACTGCGGGGCGTAACATTTCTAACCTCTTTTTCAAGTTTTGGATGATGGTCTTATTCGTGGATTCGACTTGTCTATTTGTACATGGGTGATAGGGCATTGATAGGATTTTCTTGATCTTATGATCTTTGAGGAATTTCGTCACCTTGCTACCTATGAACTGCTTCCCATTATCACATGTAATCTCGGAGGGGATCCCGAATCGACATTGTTTATCTTGAAAATGATAATTACAATTAGATTTGATTTTGTGGTTCTAAAAATACGTGATTTGTTTTAATGCTAGTTGTTAGGCAATAGATACTAAGTGTGAGACTAGAAAATAGGGTAAGAGCTTGAAGATAGATCGCTATGTAAACCGAGCAGCCGAGAATCGGGGTCTCAAGCTAGCCTACGCTGGGCCTGGGGGTCGAGCTATGTAAGAGTAAAATAACAAGTAAGAGATAGAGCAAGTGTTAATAATGTCAAATAAAGCACGTAAGGATAAATTAACACTTGTAAGGGTAGATTAACAATGAAAGATATAACATGTTATGACAATTCGATTAAAGTCATAAAAAGAGTCTAAATAGCCTAAACCGGTCAAATATCACATATAGCTCGTGTACCCACTTGTCACCTTGCATACACGACTCTCACATATCCCAAATGGCACAATTAATCCAATTCCTAAGGGGTAGTTTCCCCCCATACAAATTTAGGCAAGATATTTACCTCAAACAAGCCAAATCAATCCCCTAATAAGTCTTTTCCGCGGATATCTAACTCCGGACGGCACGACTCTAGCAAAAAATAACTTAATACCAAAAATAAAAACCATAGGAAACTATTCCGGACAATAAAGTTGTAATTTGTAAGGAAAATAAAAAAGTCAACTCGCACTTCGAAACCCAACCAAACTCACAAAATTCGAACACTCATTCAATAACGAGTCCAACCATACAAAAATTATCCAATTTCGACCACAAATCGACCTTCAAATACTCAATTTGTAGTTTAGGAGATTTTCACAATATTCTCCAGTTTGTCCAACTCAAAACACTAATTAAATGATAAAAACAATAATGGATTCAGGAATAATAATCAAATCCGAGTAAAAAATACTTATCCCGATCAACTCCTTGAAAATCCCTTTCAAAATCGCCTAAAATCGAGCTCTCTACCTCAAAAGATGAAAAATGGAACAAAACTCACGATCCAGCCCTTTTTTGCCTAGTTATTCCACTTTTGCGGACATTGGGTCGCTTCTCCAACTCCACACCTGCGGAAAATCCATCGCGGCTGCGGCCTCAAATAAGGCCCAGAGATTTACGCTTCCGTGGACAAAAATCGCATATGTGATCAGCTTCTGCCGACCAGCTCTTGCTTCTGCGAGCCCGCTTCTACGGACACCTGACAACACATGCGGTCTACGGTTCTGCACTTGCGGCCCAAAGTGCGCAGGTGGGATTGCACTGGAATCTCAGCTAGACAACAACCCTTCTAAGTCCAAAATGAACTCGGATTTAAGCCGAATCACACCCGAGGCCCCCGGGGCCTCGTCAAAACATTTCATCAAGTCCCAAATCACATAACCGACCTACTCGAGACCTAAAATCACATCCAACAACATCAAATCTACAAATCGCAACCCAATGCAAATTTATTGAATCCATGAACGTTCAACTTCCAAAACTAACGCCGATTCATACCAATCCAACTCAATTGACCTTAAATTTTGCGCACAAGTCATAAATGACACAATGGACCTATCCCAACTTCGTGAACAAAAATTCGGGCTCGATATTGATAAAGTCAACTCTCGGTCAAACTTCTCAACCTTCCAAACTTTCAACTTTCTAACTTTCGCCAATTCAACTACGGACCTCTAAATCAATACCGGGCATACTCCTAAGTTCAAAATCACCATACGAAACTATTGGAGTCATCAAAACTCCATTCCGGGATCATCTACATAAAAGTCACACTTTGGTCAACTCTTTGAACTTAAGCTTCCAACCTTGAGATAAGTGTCACAATCTACTCCGAAACTCATCTGAAACCAAATCAACAACATCGGCAAGTCACATAACCGAAATATAATATAGAGAAGGAAATAAATAGGGGAACAGTGCTAATATACTCAAAATGACTGGCCGAATCATTACAAAATGACTATTTATTTTAAATGTGTATTTTAATTTTCTAATCAAATAAAAAATATATTAGCTAAAGCTTTATTATTTTCTTTCTTAATTATAAAAGTATAGCCAAAATAATGGAGTTGCAATTTTTTCATAAATCCACAACATTCTTTAAATGCTTAAAGCCACCTATTACGTTGATTAAGTAAATAGAACAATTCTCATAATATATTCTGTTTCTTTCTTTGATAAGCACACACATTTTTGTTTCCCATCCAAAAAATTATTTTCGCAAAACTTGGAACAATTTGTACTCTGAGGCGAAAGACTTTACAGTCATTTAGAGTGTGTTTGGTACGAAGAAAAATGTTTTTCTAAAAAATATTTTCAAGGAAAATGAGTGGTTACCACTTATTTTCCATTGTTAGGTTGGTTAGCGGAAAATATTTTCCGAAAAATATCCTTTAGTGTTTGGTTAGAGAGTAGAAATTTTTTTAGGAAAATTTTTTTTTATGCTACTCTCATCATCCCTCCCCTCCACCAAGTCTTTAAAAATTTACACAAATCCAAAGAAATTTACATTTTTACGTAAAAATAACGTTGAAATTTGTGCTCCATAACTAAAAAAAATACTCTTTTTTTGTCAAAAGAAAGTACTCTTTTTACAACTTGAAAAAAAAATACTCATTTGGTTGAAATGAAAAAAAAACCTTGTCTACATAAAAAGAAAGTATTTTTTTGTTAAAATAAAAAAAATACTCTTTTATATCATAAAAAAATACTCATTTGTTGAAATAAAAAAAATCTATCTATAACATGAAAAGAAAGTACTATTAATAATATTTTTATTTAGGGTGTGGTGGGTGAAGAGGTGGCGTAGGTAGGTGGGGTGGGGCGAGGGTTTGGGATTTGGGGTTTGGGTTGGGTTGGGATGGGGTTGGGTGGGTGGTGGTGGGGTGTGGGGGTGGGTTGGTAGAGATGGGGAATAGGGTGGGGAAGGTTGAGAAGGAGTTTTGGAAAATGTTTTTCTTCTCTTAATTAGGAAAATATTTTTCTCCAATTGGAAGAAAATGAATTTATGAGAAAAATATTTTTCAAAACATTTAAACCAACCAAACATAAGAAAATTGAAAAATATTTTTCGGAAAATGTTTTCCTTCATACCAAACACACCCTTAATGACTATTGTTTTGGAAGATTCGAAAACCTTAGACAATAATTCTTACCCAAAAAATAATTCAAATAAGGAATGAATTTATAATTGATATTAAATTCCTATGTTAGGAGTTTTCACCTAACTCAAATAAGAAAAAGTTAAATAGTCAAAATTTTAATTAATTCTAAAAGTCTAAATATTTGGAAAATAATTAAATAGCTATTTTGTCCAGTGTAAATTATATGTTAAAAGGAAAAGGAAAAAAAAAGACGAATGACATTTTGTTAAGGCCTTCATGCTTTTATTATTCGATTCAAATAAAGTAAAATCTTAATTGTAATGTCCTAAATGTTACAACTTAACAGTTCAAATACTGAAAGATTTAGTTGAAAATGTTTCGTTCATTTCAAGATTAATTTCTTAAAATTATATTTAAGACTTTAAGTAACTTGAGAATTTATCACTTTAAATAGTAAATAACGTTTCACCTTCTTAATTAATAAAATGTAATATTATTTCATAAGTTCTAGAGTCCAAGATTGGTATTATTCTAATAACGTGTAGTTATTATAGTAGGAAATAATTGGTGAATTTATTATTTATAGATGATAAACTAATGAAACTCTCTATTTTATCACGAATTAATATTCTAAATATTAGAAAAAATAATTAAATAATTATTCTTATATATTAGGGAAGTAATTAAAATTTTGTTTCTATATCTTAGAAAATAATACTATTTTGTTTAGTGTAAACTTTATTTAAAAAAGGTAAAAAAAAAGACGAACGATATTTCGCTAAGGTTTTTTATGCTTTTACACATAATAAATTATTTAAAAATATAAAAGTCAATTAATAATTTGAGAATATTTTTATCGTTCAATAGCTAACTTCTTAATATTCGTACTTTTATGATAATATAGACATAAATATAGATACTGATAATCTCATAAATTGATCATATGAATGGTGTGAAATATAAGATTTGCTGCACTTGTAATACTAGAAATATTATTACTCATAATGAAAATGCATTTATTATGTCAACAGAAAAGGACCAAGGTCAGATGTAGCATTAACACTTATTTTTCCAAGTCCCCTTATGTTCTTGCCAATTATGTAACAGACAAAATCGCAGATCAGATTTATTAATTACTATGTTACCTTAAGACAAAGTACGGATGACCAGTAATTTCTTTAACTAATTTCTTCTTTGACTTCTGTTCTAAAGTTTCCTATATAAACTCAGACCAATTATTTTTCATTTTATACAATATTATCTTTGACCAAAGCATTCAACAATGGCCGTAAATTTCTCCATGAGTGTTATCTTTTTCATGTTCTTCCTCCAGGGTAATCTTTATCTTTTTACCTATCCTTTAACTCAATTAGCCAATCTACTTTAGTTTCCTCTTTTAATTAGTATCACAAAGCAGTCAATCCCTATACCATGTTGGTTGCAGGGCTTTATATCAATTCAATCTTTTCTTTTTCCACTTTCCAGTATTGAAGGAGAGAACGTGGGAAAAGAACATTTAGCTTGTGCATTAGATTTGTAAAATAATGTTTCTGTTTACGGGGCGGATGCACTTTTAACGAAACGGTATTACGCGATACCGTCAGAAAATTTTATTAAATATATGTATTAATACTGTGAGAAAACAGATAAGTAGGAAGAAAATGACAACATTTGACATAAATTGTCTATTTGTGTATTGGATATGTGCTTCATCTTGCTCAAAGAAGGGTGAAAGGTTCAAACCTCAACGATCACATTTTCTTTTGCAAATATTTGAGAGATATTTGCAAATGTTCATGCTAATGTTTACAATGTTATTATTGCAGGATCGTATGCAGCCAACATCGTAATAAAAAATAATTGCCCTTACACAATTTGGCCAGCTACACTTACTGGTCAAGGACCCCAATTGCTAACAGGATTTGAATTAGCATCACAAGCTTCACAAACTCTTCAGGTACCAAATTCATGGTCAGGAAGAGTATGGCCAAGGTTCGTTTGCTCGAATGATGCGACTGGAAAATTCACTTGTCTTAGTGGAGATTGTGGGACTGGCCAAGTAACTTGCAATGGTAATGGTGCAGCTCCACCAGCATCCCTTCTCGAATTCACATTAGCAGGGTTTGGAGGCAAAGACTTCTATGATATTAGCTTGGTTGATGGTTTTAATTTACCAGTGTCTATTGTCCCTCAAAATAGAGCTGATTGTAACTCAACAAGTTGTCCAGTTGATATCAATAATCACGGATGTCCAGATGAGTTATCAGTAAAAAGTCCAGATGGTGGTGTCATTGGGTGCAAAAGTGCATGTCTGGCATTTCAACAGCCACAATATTGTTGCACTGGTCAATATAGTTCTCCACAAACTTGCAAACCAACCAAATACTCTTTACAATTCAAACATCTGTGTCCTCAAGCTTATAGTTATGCTTATGATGATGCAACTAGCACATTTACATGTACTGGAGCTGACTATTTGATTACCTTCTGCCCATGAGTTTGTTACATCTGAGAGATTACATGTAATAGAGCCATGATTTGCTTATCTTTTGTCCAGCCACCTAGTTGATTTATCTGGAAATAAAAATATTGAAGTCCTTTTTGTTAAATTTGTTTTACTCACTCTACCCTATTTTACGACGCTTATTACTATTTGGGAAGTTGGAACTTTTTTTTACCACGAAGTTTCCAAACATTTTTAAATATCTTTAATTACTAAAATTATATTTATATTATTTTTCATATAGTTTCTAAATAGGCAAAAAGTATTTTTTAAAAAAAATTAGAGATTCAACGTCTGAATTCACGTAGATAATTAAATTGTTAACCCTCTAATTTCGAATAATTACTTCATTCTTTTGAAATGAAAGGATACTTCTTAACTCTTTCATTTACGAACCTGCTCATTGTTTAGGGTAAGATTGGTTCACATTAAATACTCATATAATAGAGCGACATGTTTAATCGGAGATAGTTGGAAAGTGAGACAAGTGAAAACCAAGATCAGAAGCAGCAGCTTCGGTTGGCACCGGAAAGGCCCTTCGGGAATATTGCTAATGAAGACAAACGAATGTCTGCCACCAGATAGCATTCAATGAAGAATATTATGTAGTATTAAATATATAGCCTGTTATAGAGAATTATGTCATTCATAGTCTGCCATTACACATTCTTTAATGGTCCCCATAATTGTCATTTAAGAGTGACTTGATCCTACGACCTTGTTCCCTGGGTGCAACTATAAATAGTAATTTCAACCGCCATTGTAAGGACATGAATTTTCTAACAAACTTATGCTATACATTATTCTAAGCTCAATAATATTTTATTCTCGTCTATTGATATTCTTATTATTGCCTTCAGAAGCTTTGCTCCCAGAACCAAGCTATTTGCTGTCTTATCTTGATCTCAACGCTAAGTCTTGTATTTTTATTTAATTTATTTATCCTTTTGGGATTAAATCGATTTATTTGTCTATAAACCGCGTACAAATTCAATTGTACCGTTTTATGGGTAAATAGTTTGGCGCCCACCGTGGAGCTTAGACAGTTGCATAATTGAATTGATCATTGCATCTATTAATAACCTGTTTAAATCATAAGAAAGTGACAGATAACAATGTCAATATTACACACAACGTTGAGGCACAAGGAAATACGCCTCGACAGAAAGGTTCGATCAGTGATACCCGCAACGAGGAGGGCGTAGCCACGCCGGTTATGGCGCGCAATATCCACAACACGTTCGAGAGGCAACTCCTAATTATGCTGAAGTACGAGCATGTTGTAAAAATGGTGAGAATCCTAAGGGAGCAACAAAGGGCTATTATGGGTCATCTCTCACAACAAGATCAAGTCATGACAGAGTTGAAGCAAGAGTTGTCGGGTGCTTCCAACAAAGCGAATGGAAGAGGTCTGGTTCCTCTTGGTGCTACCGAAAACCAAACAACACAAAGGGTTGATAACAATACCCCGAGGGGTGAGGTTGACTTCGACGAGGTCGGGGGTGGGGGGGACACAGAGGCTGATCCAGAATTTGATGGCTACGGGTGCCACTTTTTAATACAAACCTACCATTAGCCTAAGAGATTGAATTATGGTGTACATTTTATTGGTTTGATCCATTTTGAACTACTCGGTTCACTTTGGTTTAGTTCGATCTATTTTGAATTAATTAGGTTCAATTTACCAGATTTTTGGTGCATAAATAAATATATAACCATCAAACCGAATAAATTTTGTCTAATTCGATTTAATTCTCTAACTCTATTGAATGATGTGATTAGATGCACAAAATTAAAATAAAATTTTAAATTAGCAAATATATTATATGGATAAAAAGAGATAATATTAAAATCACATTCAATAAAATATTGAAGATCAAGGCAAAGAAAAAAGAAGCAAATATATTATTTAATAAATAATAAAATAGTTGTACTAAGAAAAGAAATCAAAAGATGAAGAACTACAAAAATTTTAAGAGAAGGAAAGGGGGAACATCAGGGATTCGATCCTGCATCTAAGATCTGGATTTATTGGTTTTTAACCGGCACCTAGAGCCAACATATAATACCAGGTGCCGTCCTTAAAATATATAGGTACTTGTTTGTAAAATGTCAAAATACATATATACACGCACAAAATTTTACCCGAGCGTCCGGGTGGCATACCACCCCCGACTCTGTACATAGATCCGCCCCTGGGGGGACGGCAGCGGATCTGGTAACAATAACGGGAATGATCCTTCAAAATCAAACTCATGTGATTTATGAGTTAAATATATGCCCGAATGGATCATATCCTGGGTGTACTGCCAGTGTTGAAAGGACCGATCTAAAAAAAGAACACTTGTTGCCGTTCAAACCAAGCGCGACATCAGAGTTAATCCCAAAGTGGTTAATGCCAGACGTGCCAAAATATGATGGGACTACGGATCCTCAGGAGCACATTGCCACCTACACAACGACGGTGAAAGGAAACGACTTAACTCCGCACGAAATTGAGTCAGTCTTGCTGTAGAAGTTTGGGGAGACCCTCACAAATGTGGTCTTGCTGTTTTTGCTTCTACCGAGCACTCAATAGATTCCTTCCAGATGCTCATGGATTCATTTATCAAGGCCCATGCCAGGGCCAGGAAGGTTCAGACCTGAAAGGCTAACATATTCAGAATTGCTCAAGGAGAGTCTGAATTGCTATGAGAGTTCGTGACCAGCTTTCAAAAAGAAAGGATACTACTACCGGCCATGTCAGATGAATGGGCAGCTGAGGCATTTATTGAAGGGCTAAATCCAAGGAGTTCTGACGCTTCCTGAAAATTGAAAGAAAGTCTGCTCGAGTTCCAAACGACAACATAGACAGATGTCCACAACCGCTACGAATCGAAGATAAGAATAAAAGATGACCAACTCGGTTTCCCGGCATCAACTAAGGGTCGGGACCGAGAGAAGAATAAGGAAAAGTTGAAGGATGATTTTGACTCAAATCAAAGGTCTTCCAGAGGTCAGTTTTTGCCCTATGAAAGGGCCGAAGGACGCGGAAGAGGCTTCTGGTCAATGAATCGGTTCGCTACTGATAGGAGAGCGGATCGCGGCCGGAATAACAGATCGTTGCAGGACAAAGAGGTATCGGGCTCTCGAGATTCCACCTACCCCAAATTGTCCGAGTATAACTTCAATGTCAGCATAATGGAACTAGTATCAGCAATGAGGAACATTAAAGTAGCACGGTTCTCGATGCCGATGAGATCCGACCCCAGTAAGAGGGATCCTAATATATGGTGTGAATATCATGGGATTAACAACCTCCAGATTGGCACTGCCGACATCTGCACGAGGAGGTGGTGACATTGTTGAAAAACGGCCATCTCAGAAAGTTCTTAAGTGATTGGGCTAAGAATAACTACGGCCGCAACCAGAATAACACTAAACCCTCAAAAGCAGGAGAAGATCCTCCTCATCTAACGATCAACATAATTTTTGTGGGAAAGGAGATTAATGGGGTAACCTTTTCGGCAGCAAAAAAGACAAAGGTGTCTGTGGCCCAGAGCAAGAGACTCCAGGAAATCGGCGAGGATGATATCACCTTCACGGAGGAGGACACAAATGGACACCTACCACTACCACACAATGATGTACTGGTAATTTCTCTTAATGTTTTAAATTTTAAAATTAAACGTGTTGATGAAAAAATCTCTATTTATTTAATTTTTCAATAATATTTTATTTAAGAGATGTGAAAAAGTAACACTAAAAATAAAAACGCTTACCGGAAATTATATATTTCAGATATTGTGACCATTTTATTATTAATGTGTAGTGTTGTGATTTTTAAGTGATAAAATAAAGTTCTATAATATTTGTGAAGAAACCTTATAATTATACGATTATTTTTAAAATTTACCTCAACTCATAGATACCAAAAGACAAAAAAAAAAAAGGGAGTAAGCGAGAGGAAAGAAAAAGATAAGGGTGTTTATCGGGCGGGCTGGGATGGGCTGAACGGGAAAACCCCCAGCCCGTTCGGTTAGCGGGCGGGCTGTTATAGGGCTGAGATTTTTCGGGTTTTCATGGGCCCGTACGGGTTAGGGCTCTGGCGGGCCGGGCTCTTTTTTTTTTAATTTAAATTTTATTTTTCTTATTCAATATTATTGATAGTTAAGTATTTGCAAACTTTTAAGGGTTAGAATTAAACTTTGAAGTTTAAAGTTTTAAATTTGAAATTTGTATTTTATAATTATAAAATTGAAATTGAAAAGTATATGGCTACAAAAAATTATTTAATAAGAGTATAAGACCAATAGGCAAATGTAAGGAACAAACTCCGAAGACCAATAGGTTCTTTTTTGATTTTCTTTTATTTTTGAACTTGCAAATTAAAACTTAAAAGTTTACAATAATTATAAAAAATAAGAAGTAGTACATCACATGCTTTGCATCATTTTTGTAAGTTCTTCCATATCAACATGAGGTTCTTGGTTTCCGGGATTGATTGAATCGGAACCATAAACCATTATATCTCAAATTTCTTGGTCCTCCTCTTCATCTACCTCGTCACGCCCTTTATTTCGCCGTTCTGATCTTATCCAATCTCCGAAGCATACTAGAATTTCCAAAGCGTTGCTGCCCAATGAATGACGGGTATCTCCTAGCTGCTGTCTTGCTTGGCTAAATGCGCTCTCTGATGCGACTGTTGAAATCGGCACATTTAGCACGTCTCGAGCCATGGCCGAAAGAACAGGAAATTGATTTGAGTTGCTCCTCCGCCAACTCAGCGATAGAAAATCCTTTGTGAGGGGCTCTGGTGACTTTTGCAAGTAGAATTGTAGTTCATCAATATTTCTGCTACTGGTTTGTTGATGCTCTCCTAGTGTAGACCAAATCTGATAATCTTGAACACAATCATCATCATCCATAGTTGTTCCAGATGTTGAAGGATTAGTTGAAGGAATATTTGCATCTACAACCGAAGAAGCATCAACAATGTTAGCATAATAATTATATAAAGTTTGTAAATGTGTGTGTAGCTCAGAAATACAAGTGTCAATATCAGGAGTTTCAGTTGGGCCAATATCCATATAAGTA